AAAATTTTGTGTGCTTACAGTTCAACTTTCCAAATTTATACAGTCCATTATAATTACACGAAGCATTATTATTACGTTGTTATGTTATTATGAGTTGGAATTCTTTCAAGAAAGCTCTGAAAGAAAGAAAGCTCATCGTTATGCCTACAGTAGTGCGCACATTTGGGGTAGAAACAGTGATTGTTTTGACTCTGATATCTGTCAGGCAACTAGTAAATCATTATTTTCAGTGGTTCTCTCCTTTCGGTCATTTTTTGTTCCATCGTTTTGATCGTGATCTCTTCTCTTTGAAGGGACGTAGAACTGGAAAACTTGGTGAGCGATGGAGTTTGAAGAAGCACACGATCTGCCTGCCAACGAATGCGTTTGGGACGATTGAATTCCAAGGTACTGGTGGATAGGATTACTTTGGACGCTATTCACCCTTGGCTACCTCGCTTTTTGAGACTCGGGGTCATTTTTTGCTGAAATTTGTCCATTTCCGTGAATTTGGCCTAAAATTGTTCCGCGAGTAGTTCAACTCCTAGAACACGAGTATTGCATCCGTTCGGCGCCAAAGCACCGACCTCTGCGCCACACACGCCGGCACCAAACATCATAGATTACTCCAGTTGGGTAAAAACTGGGGCCAACTGAATACAGTACTTTTGTGAAGAGAGAGTCAAAAGAAAAAACTTCACAGGGAACTAAAACAACATCCCAAACAAATTTTTATAAATTGTTGCTCGGAGTATTAGCCTCTAAAGATGTAAATACAGAGGTCCGCGCACAGGTGTGACGTGGGTTTTGGCGACGGCGCGCAGCTCCGTTTTTAACAAATCGTTGCCAAAAAATGAGGTTGTAAACGAATTTTGGAAATGAACTTCCTCCGCTCCAAATCCACGTTTACTTTGTAACGCCCTATCGACTTGGTTGCTGAGAACTGTTTCTAATGCTTGGTGCGTCAAATTGATGGGGCATTAGCGTAGAATGGGTACGACTATCTAAAGAGGCGGATTCCTATCCAAACTGCATATGGAACCATCTTTCAAAAAAATAAAGTTGTAGAATGTATAGTCTTCATCCCTGCAAGCGAAAAGGTGTGTGAGGAGGCGTGGTGAGAAGCGCGGCCAGAGTGGCCTTTTCTACTGCCATCCTATTGGTGAAAAAGGCCACCTGCATTCCATTCTCCGCCCATTCCACCCTCTCATTTGCAGAGAACACGAGTGTAGAAAGTGCCTTACTTTGTTACTGAGATTGAAAATATACATGAGATTTTTGGAAGAATTCTTCTTCCTAGGTGGTCCTCATCCGCACAAAGCCCAATATGTTCGACTATCGTTCGACACAGATCCATCGCTTATTATGTCCATGTTCGAAGAGGTAGTTTTGCCTATTAGATTTAGAATTTTGACCAGAAGACGATCTGGGAGATTTAGGTTTGGCAAATTGCTCCGCCAAAGCTGATTATCACCGTACACGGAGGAACAAATAACTTCGAGTTGGTGACATCACCTTTTCTGTCTTCTCTTTTTTATTCCCTTTTCTCTGATCGGTTTTTCTCCCCCAACTGTTTATTTATTCGTTGGTTTCTTACTTTTATATATCGATTTTCAGTCTTCAACCAAAGCTGGGAAGAGTTTTTCGTAAAGGCCTTCTGAGAGCTGCGACCACGACTGGTGCTTGGATCATAACCAGTGGGGTCGATTGTGGTGTGGTAAGACATGTAGCTGCAGCTTTCGAAGGTTAGCCCTGGACGATCTCTCAAAATGTTTTTATCAGCTGAATAATTAGTGAGCTTAAATTATTTTTTATATAATTTCAGGTGCCAGTTCAACATCCCGCAATAAAGTGGTGTGTATTGGAATTTCACCATGGGGATTGCTCAAAAAGAGGGATGAACTGATTGGTGAGGTGAGTTGTACTCAGTCGTTTTCCACCAGTTGTGTCGCTCACCTTCCTTCAACAACTGCGGAGAACGAGCTGGCGACGCGCCAAGCGCCGCCTCACTGACAAGCCCCTTCATTCGTAGCGAACAAAGCTGTATGATATCACAAAAATATTGAATTATGGAGCAGAAGGCGTGGCCTTAGAAGGCGGCGGTGAGGCTCGAACCTGCACCTCACGTTTACTGAGCGACTCCGCCTGCTTACATTAATGACCACCACGCCGGGGCTATCCTTTTCCGCCCGTCAACGGTCTATCAAGCAGCAACTGCATGACAACAAGCCCTTCATCCGATTGCTATAGTGTATGTAGCTAACACACACCGAGCGCTGTTAGGTGAAGTCAAATTCTGTGCGCGTACATGCAATAGCAGGTTGGTAGAGGTGAAGGTACTAAAAAGGAAAGGAATTTTTGAATATTTTCAGGACGTCTGTGTGCCATACTATCATTCTCGTGAGTCGAAGACGACGACACATTCACGCAGCGTTGAAATACATCGACCACTCAGTATTCTTGTTGGTAGTATACCAAGAGACACGCCGTGTTGAGCGCAGCGTTTAGCTTCTTGAGATACTTTGATTTCTGATGTCTTTTCTTAACATGATCTTTCAGCACGCGATGCTGTGGTCATGGTACCCACCACGCCCAAACACCAAACATACCCATTTTTATTGTCCTTTTATCTTGGATTCTCTTCCATCTTTTTGTTGTCTTTGCGTATTTTTTGTTGTGTTCCATGCACTGTATGACTTTTGGCGCAGTTCGGCTTGGTGGGGGCGAATGGTACACAGTTAGGCTTGCAGAAGCCGCTAGACCTGTAGATTCCTGTGAACAATGTGGCTTACTGTTACCAGCATCATTTCGCAGCTTTACAAGACCTTACAGGTCTCACCAAAGAGGTACCTGTCATTCAATATAAAATAACATATGGAGCTCAGGAAAGTGTAAAAAGTCCCCTCCAAGCCGGACAGCTTGTGGTCTTTCTTCCTGTCCATCCAACTTTCGTTTTCAGGTATGGTGCAGAAGTGGTTTTACGCAAACGGCTAGAGAATTACATTGCCCAGAAGCAAAAGATCTCTGGTGGATCACGAAGTGTGCCTGTTGTTTGTGTGGTTCTCGAGGGTGGCAGCTGTACCATCAGATCTGTGCTGGATTATGTCACAAAGTGAGTGTTGTTACTCTTACTGCGCTGTTATTTTGCTAGCAACTTCGCCAGTAGTGCTGCTATTCTGTTAGTTTCACATTGTGCCTGCCATTTGCTATTAAAATTCGTGATAAACGGCTTTTTAAAGGTGAGTTATCGTCTGTTCTGACGTATTTCTGAGAGCTTTTCACCGCTGGTACATAGAATTTGAAATTCATTGAATTACTCGTCCAGAAATATCAAAAATTAGTACAATTGGGGTGGCACTTCCTCGTGTTGGGGACAACTTTTATTAGATCCCACTTCTTTTGCGGTACGGCCTGCCTCCACACTCGACTAACCATCTTCAGACTTTCCTGCTTTCTAGAAACTTGCTGTCGAGCAGGAGGGCGTGGTGGGGATGGCACCTTCCATCAACTGCCAGCGCGTGAAAGGGGACAGATCAATGGTCAGAAAAATTTATCCCCAGGCCAAATGCGACCTCCTCTTCCGAATGCGATCCCCTCTCCCAAATGCGACCCCGTCTCCTCATAGCGAAGAACATCCACAATGATGGTGTGCCCTGATTAGGGCAGCTCGAACAGGGTAGCCCATTCAAGGTGCACTCACTTACCCTTCCCCCTGTCGGTGCGCAAAACGCGGGGTTCCTGATCCCTTAGTTGGAGGTGTCTACAATCCTTCCCCCTCCTCGCGGTTGAGGCAGAAATTTAGGAGATAAGTTGTGAGGTAAGGGGGGGGGAAGGCGTATGACGTTGATTTTACCTATTCCAGTACGGTAACCTGATTTCAACTGTTTTTTTCAGTGTTCCGCGAGTACCTGTGGTTGTTTGCGACGGCAGTGGTCGTGCGGCCGATCTCCTAGCGTTTGCCCATCAGACAGTTCGAGAAAACGGGTAAGTTTTGGCTGTGCAAAGATACATCGATTAGTTTCGTTGAGGACACGGTCCATGCTGATCGTGTGGGCAAGTTAGGCCTACTGCAGTGTCTTCCTCACT